TTTGTTCCATCTCCACTGTCAGGGGATGTAGAAGGGCAGCGTTAACAAAGGGATAAGCACCCACCCTTGCACTGACTTGCTGTGTTCATCCAGTAGTCCTACCCAGACCAAGTCTTGCCCTTTCTGCTCATTGCCCCAGAAGCAAACCCTCAGGCTATCAGGATCTCAGGACTTCCATCTGTGCCCAACTCAGCTCCCTGTCTCTGGGATCTGGGACAGACATTGAAGCTCCAGAATATTCATGATGGCAATAGGACCCAGCAGTACTTATTTGACATTCATTTGAATCAGTGCCTGGTCTAAAATCCCACATGTGGACAGCAGAGGTTGCATCTGCAGGGAGCTATAGGCTCTGGGATGGGTACATCGATTTCCATATCCTGTGCATTCCATTTATTTGCTAAGCTTTGGACAAATTTCATTTATAATTTGAGTAGATCCCTCATTTCTTCCAGGTCTATGTTTAAATGTCCCCTTATCACAGAAACCTCCCTTTGGCCACTTCAAATAAAATCATACTGCCTTCTCACGTGTTACTCTCCATCTCCTCCAACCCTCCACTTGTCCTTACTACCACTTGCAATAGATTCGTCCACCGATTTGTTCTCCCACTACAATGTCCACTCTTGAGAGTAAGGGCTCTGTCTCTTTTGCTTATTGCACTATCGTTAGCATGTCCAACATGTGAGGCCTTTAGTATGTGCCCAGTAGAAATATGTGGGATAAAAGCAAGACTGGGAAGAGCTTGCTCGTTGGCACACTGCCAGCCTGTCTGTAGAAGGGCCTCATTCCCAGGAGAGAGCAAGGCACCCATTAGGGTTACTTTTCAATTCCTGATTTCTTTAGCCAACATTTATCGAGTACTCAGTATTAGGTGTTGAAGAGCTCCATCCTACTCTCTCAAGGCTTATCAACTGGTGGAGGATGCAGACATTTAAATTAAATCAATTTTTAAGATCCACTTCAGAAATCAGTCACTCCTGGGGGCCTTTCTTGAACATCCCTCCTGCCTCTCCAAACCTGGGTTAGGCATTCTTCTTATGATTTTTCATGGCATCTGTGAAGAGCTTTGTCATGGTCCATTTGGAAACCAGCAAGCACAGAGCAGTATGCTTTCTAAGCCTTTCCTTATCAGTAAAGGCTTCATCAGAAGGATTGTTCCTTACTCATTATTGAATATAAATGCCTGATAGATAAACAATAGTCAATAAATATGAGTCAGCTATTATTACTGCTGCCTCTGTATGCATTCAGTAGCCAGTATTTATTTAGCTGTGTGTGTGAATGCATTTTAATAGTACCTGTTCTTCTGAAGGTATGCAGGCTTAGAAACAGCTTTATATTATGTTTCGTTCTATCTTGCTATTCTCTATAATATTCTCCATTTCGGGCTCTCTTTGTGTTCTGGGAGATGCAGTCATTCAACTGGTATAGAATTTTCGCAAAGAATTTTCAGGGGACTCCTTGTGTCCCCAGCTGTGAGTTGGAGCTCTGATTTATTTAAAAAAAATTTTTTTTTGATGTGCATATGTCAGGAACTCTTAGAAGCATGGAGTATCTGTTTATTCCAAGAGGGGCAGTTATGGGAATTCTCTCAATAAATACTTGTGGGTTCATGATATTTTGATGCTGCCACTTTGATGTGGCTGTTTTGATTCAGGGACATTTTGTCATGGCCTCGAAAGCAAATCCTTAGACATGCAGCAATTTTGTGTAGCTAAGAAATGTGCACAACAGGCATCCAGCCACATCCCAGGGCTCAGGGTTGGGTGCGTATGTTAACCTAATATTTGTGTTTTTTCATCTTGACGTGGCTGTTTCGATGCCTGAGGCTTTCATTACATCATATGGATCTTACCAGAATGTTTGCTTTAAATATTTGCTTGTCTCACTTGAATACCGACCATGTGCCTGATTCTAATTTCCATGGCAGGAGGGATGCAAGTGAAGCAGAAGGCAAGGGGATCAACAATCTCAAGGGGACCCCGAGTTTTGCCAAGGGCTGGCTGAGGGAGCACATTCGCCATCGCAGAACGCATGCTACCTCTGTTCTTGTGGGCTGTTTCCTGGTTTAGAGCTTCACATTACAGTACTGGCTGGAGAAATGTTTAAGAATGGAAAAAAAAGATCCCAATGCAAACGCCGAAATATGGTCTCTCCATGTTAAACAGATCATTTTGATCATTTGCTCCTGCTGTCTTGCAAAAGTACTTTTCCTTCTGTTTCCCATGGTGATGGGAGGACGTGGTATTCACTACTCACTGATCAGAAAGGCTCTGGGCCGCAGGCTGGGAGAACCATGCCCTATTTTCTTCTTTAGGTGATATGAGGGATCATTAAATACATATGCCAGGGGTCAAAGGTTGCCTCAGACCTTGACTAGATGACTAGAAACAGAGGCCATTAAGGGGAGATTGAGAAGTGTTTGTTCTGACCAATGTTTTTATCTGAGTTTTCTACCAGATCATGCAACATTATTTCCAACTTTAAAACATTTTGGTAGCAAGTATATTAAGTGGCCTGTTATTAAAAAAAAAAAAACCTAAGTCATCATCTTTGGGTCCCGGATCTTAACTCTGGGACTGGAAACTCAGTTCTTGGTGTCTTGATGGAATGTGGTACCACTGAATAAGTTGCCCAAATTTATACATCACCTTTGCCATGAACTTGTCGAGAATGGTCTCTTCCTCACGTTCCCTAGAGAAAGGAACTCCTAGATGACGTACCATAAAGCATGCCTGTGCCTAATTTTCACAAGGTGTAGGTACCAGGCCCTTCTTGCCACACTCCACACAGTGAGTGAGTGACAGAGTCAGGATTTTAAGCCACAGCGCTCTTACCCTGAACCCTCGCTCTTCCTGTTATTACCAGTCTATAGATTGTCATGGGCTCCAAATGAGGGTCTGTCCAGTCTGTGGTGAGACTATCTGGGGTGGGAGTAACACTCTGGTGTCTTGGAAGGCACTGTCCTGCCATCTATTGTCATCTATTCAGAGATGGAGGCCTATCCTTCTAGGTATTGAGGATCCCCCCGCCCCTCTTGTCAAATGAGGTGGTTGTAAATGGCAGTTGCAGAAATGTATTAAGTTGTTACATCAAAGTAAAAAAACTGTCACCCCTCGTGCCAATGCCCAGGCTTAATTGTGGAATAGCATGGGCCTGGGCCTGTCAAAGGTGGGCAAGGAGCAGCTGCAAGGGCAACCTGGGTCCACCTGGGGTTTTGCAGCCACAGATGGAAGGGACCAAAGTGCCTCTTAGATCCCTACATATTCACTCTGTGTGGCATTGGCCTGTGGCCAGTTTGACAGTCCTCATTATACAAGTGACCTTCTAAAAGCCCCAGTAGACTGAACTTTCTTTTAGCTGGATAAGCTAGCTTTTCCTACGGGGTGTGGTGGGGTAAGGCTTGGGTTATCAGCCTCTGTAACTTTTCTGTGTCCAGGATGTGGAAGGCTAGAGCTTGGAGGCGTTTTCATCTTGGCCTAACTCAGGCCGTGACGCTCCTGAAATCACCATTTGGCTCTTATTTAAAGAATGAAAGAGCGATTGTATATCTTCTTCTGCGAAGTGTCTGTTTAGTTCAGATATTCAACTTCTCTAGTAATTAGAGAAATGCAAATCAAAACGACTCTAAGATTTCATCTCACTCAAATCAGAATGGCAATTATCGAGAATACAAGCAATAATTAATGCTGGTGAGGATGCAGGGAAAAAGGCACACACATACATTGCTGGTGGGACTGCAAATTGTTGCACCCACTATGGAAAGCAGTATGGAAATTCCTTAGGAAACTTAAATTGGAACCACCATTTGACCTAGCTATCTCATTCCTCAATCTATACCCAAGGGACTTAAAATCAGCCTACTATAGTGACACAGCCACATCAATGTTCATAGCAGCCTAATTCACAATAGATAAACTGTGGACCCAACCTAGATGCCCTTCAACAGATGACTGGATAAAGAAACTGTGAGATACACACACACACACACACACACACACTAGAATATTACTCAGCATTAAAAGAGAATAAAATTGTAGCATTTGCAGGTAAATGGATGGAGTTGGAGAAGATCATGCTAAGTGAAGTTAGCCAATCCCCCAAAACCAAAGGCTGAATGTTCTCTCTGATAAGTGGATGCTGATCCATAATGGGGGAGTGGGGGCATGGGGAGAATGGAGGAACTTTGGGCAAAGGGGAGGAAGAGGGGGGAAAGGGGCATGGGGGTATGAAAGATGGTGGAATGAGATGAACATCACTACCCTAGATACATGTATGACTGCACATGCGGTGCGACTCTACATTGTGTACAACTGGAGAAATGAAAAGTAGAGTTCCATTTGTGTACAATGAATTGAAATGCATTCTGTTATCACGTATAACTATTTAGAACAACAGCAACAAAAAAGAATGAAAGAGCTCAGGTTTTAGATCCAGACTATCTGGATTGGCATCTCCATTTCCTTTAGGCTTTGCAACCTTAGGCAAGTTAGTCTTTGTAAAATGGAATGGGGAATGCTTCTCCCCCACCCACAGGATGCATGGTGGGGTCTCTTGAAAACCTGACCACAGCTTGCGGTCTTCTTTTCTCTACTGCAAGGACCCAAGGAAATGGGAGTAAAAGCATCACTCACATAAGTGCTCCAGGTGTCCTACTGTCCTGCTTATAGGTGAACTGGAACTCAGCATGCCCTGTGTCACTCTTTTTTGGGAGGAGGGGGTGGTTACTGGGGATTGAACTCAGGGGCACTAGACCACTGAGCCACACCGAGTTGCTTAGAGCCTCACCTTTGCTGAGGCTGGCTTTGAACTCGAGATCCTCCTGCCTCGGCCTCCTGAGTCACTGGGATCACAGGCGTGTGCCACCACGCCCAGCCTGCATCACTCTTGTTTTTATATGCCCAGCTGTGCCTGGGGGAGACCCCTTTACCTGAGCCTCTGAAGCTGCACAGGGAGGTGCCCGCTGACTCCACTCACCACCGTCCCTTCTGTTGCAGTGCCAACAATATGCCCAAGCAGGTGGAAGTACGGATGCTTGACAGCCAACTCAGCTCAGAGGAGCCGAAGCACCGATCTCTGTGCCTGCGCTTGTGTGACAAGCTGGGGAAGAATCTCCTGCTCACACTGACGGTGTTCGGTAGGTGCCAGATGCCATGTCACTCTCTCTTCTCAGGGGCTCTCCTGGCTCTGCAGCCAGCACTCTTACAAGAAAGGGAACCGCGTGCTCTGCCCAAGGCCTGTGGCCTAGGCAAAATCTTTCCCATCACCTACTCTAGCCATTTGTTCTGCTTTGGATTCCAGTAATCCTCAAGTGTCAGGCATAGGCTTGTCCTATGGGTGTGTTAGCACGCAGATTCCCAGGCTACACTCATGGAGACCATCTGAAGTGAGGCCCTAGACTCTGCACCTTAGCAAACCTTCTAGGCGATTCCAAAGAAGGTGGTCAGTGGATCACATTACCTGCATCAAGGCCAATGGCTGCAGGAAACCCCACTAGAAGGGCTCCCAGGCGCCTTCTGCAGATCATTAACTTAGGTTCACTGGGCACGTCAGCCAATGAGAGCAGCGTGCAAGAAGCACATGGTGAAGCATTGATCTGCTTCCTCTTCCTCCTGGCTTCAGGCCACATGCTGGGGTTGTTCTTCTGTGTGGACTGTTGCTAAAATCTTGGTCTTCAGGTTTCCAACCAGGGTTTTTTAAAAACGGGGATAAATGGCAGTTTCTTGCAGTGACAGCCACATCATTTCTCTTTGAAATCCCTCCCTTGTTCTCCATCCCTCACTTAGCAACACAGAGAGGCGATGATGGCTCATCCTCCCCACCCCTCACACCCACCCACACACCCTCCATCTGTGGCCCAGCCTGTGAGCCAGTCATCCTGGATGCCAGTGGACCAGGGTCAGGATGCGGAATTTGGCTCATTTCACTTAATAATAGGAAAACCATAAGTGTGGTTGGATTTTCCAAGGGTTTCCCTCCATGTAAGCAGATCTCATTCATCCTAGGACTTCAAGTTGGACAGTACCATTTCCACCTGTAGAAGAAAACGTGACCAGGCCTTCAGCCTCATTGCTCTGCCCACATTCTGGAATTTACTCCCAAAACCTCACACCTGGAAATGCCTCCCCTCCCTTCCAGCCTGAGGTGCTGTGACCTCACTTGTGGGTTCCACAGCAGTGTGTAGGGTTGGCCACCCTTGTCAGGGGTCTGAAGTTTTGCTTGGGGGGATCTGTGGGTTTGTGAGGCTAAAGCCTCCTGCCAGCATCTCTGCTGGATGGGGTTCCTCCCACAGTCTATATTTTCAGTGTCCTTGAGCTCCCATAAGACCAGCAAGTTCAAGGATCAAGTAAAAGGGCAAACATGGAGGGTGAGCTATGGGGAAGTTATTGGAAGCCCCCTGCCCCCCACCCGCTGCCCCACCAGGGGACAAAAAAGGAACGCATAGTATTTTGGTCAGTCATGTTCATCTTATCTGGCCTTTGGTTAAGAAGGAAGACACATGCTTCGTGCCAAGTTGTGTGGCCAGACCTGGGCTGGGAGGAGAAGCCATATGGGGCACTGTGAGTTGTTTCTATTCATGAACAGTCAATATCTTCAAAGATGGTGGAACCAGGTCTTTTTTTTTAGCTTGCATCAAGCCTTGAGAAGGCTCTCCTGCCTCTCCTGGAGCTGCCTGTGGGAACAGTTAGCGCTCCCCAAGGGTCTCTTGCTAATTGTCAAAATTAACTTCACTTACCTTGTGCTTTTATTACATTTTATTCATCTTCTAATAGGGCGGAGCATGAGAACGTTGAGTAGCATTGAAGTAAGTCCTAGAACTATTTATTTGACCGTGGCAAACAATAAACCCAGACTGTCCCCTTCCTCCTTTCCTTCCTCCCAGGTGTCATCCTGGGGGCAGTGTGTGGAGGGCTGCTTCGCCTGGTGTCTCCCATCCACCCCGATGTGGTCATGTTGATAGCCTTCCCAGGGGATATCCTCATGAGGATGCTAAAGATGCTCATTCTCCCTCTCATCATCTCCAGCTTAATCACAGGTAAGCCCCTCTCCCTGCTGCTGAACAATGGAGATTTTGAATTGACTGAAGAATCGCAGTTTGGTTGAGTGAGCAAATGCCTGTGTCATTTCACTTTAGAGCCTCCTTTTCCCAGTCTCTAAAATGGAGATAAGCAATCCTAAAAAAAGAGAGCGCTTGCTCTTTGTGTTGGTGGACCCATCTTTCCCTGTAACAAGACAAGAAGGAAACAACTGCGTGTTCAAAGGGGTGATATCTCTAGTGATTTTAAGTCTTGACATGCACTTTTCTCAATTTTCTAAATTGCGTTTTGTTCAGAAACTGATAAAAGTGAGGGATGGGAAAGGACACTGTATTATTTAACTTGGCATGGACGAAGGTGCGCATTAAAAATAAATGAAATGCTAGATATGAAAGCCCTTTGAGTTTCTCAGAACAAAGATATCCTTAATGGATGTCATCATGGTTGCTTTTTGTTTTTGTCTAAAAGAATTCATGACTTTATTTGAGAGAATTATTTTCCCCCCTCCGTGGGCTTATACTGATTGTTTCCTCCTGCCACGTCCTGTTGTTCAAGCAGGGAATATGTTAGTGTTTAAGACTTGCTCTGAGTGAGGGTGGGCAACTGGGCCTTCATCCAGGTGACCTTGAGGAGTTGCCCTTCTTTCTGGACTGTGCGCCTTACGAAGGGAATGAGGCTCCAGCAGCTCCAAGAGATTCAGATGCTAAGCCAGTCTTGCAGCGGGTTGACCAGTGAGCCCACTGGGCAGGAGGGCTGGGGTTTGGGATTGCATGCTCAGAAGCTAGCCAGGGTCTCATCATTCAGCCCTGGATTAAGTGAATCTGTTTTTTACCTCCAATGTTTTCCAACAAACCAAGAAAATTATTTAAAAAAAAAAATGTTCTCTGCTAACAGATGACCAGCCTGGTAAGGAAACCTGGCCTCCATCGCCCAGAATTGGACTGTAGGTTGTAAAGAGAAGTAGGTCGTATGTGGGTCAACTCAATTCAGAGAAGTTCGCATCAGTGACTTCCTCCCCCACAGCAAAAAGAACGGATCCCCCGAAAAGGGCTCCATCCTCTGCCTAGCAAAAGCAGGAACTGAAACCAGGAAATGGACAGTTTGAAGAAACAACTAGAAAAAAACCCAGTGAAGGCTGGAGTTTTTGTGACTGGCTTGGAATTTTCTCTCACCTCCCTTCGTAGAGCTGAGGGCCACAGCTGGTGGCTGCTTTGCCAAATGCTCTTCAAGTCCCACGAGGCTGGGGGATGAGGACCATCAGCCTGCACCTCAGGGAGATGAGAGGGCTGTGCTCAATCCCTGTTCTCCTCTCTGTGTCAATGGCCAGTAATGTATTCAAAAGACACTTCGAGTATAGCATGGGTCGACCAACTTCTTATTTTCCTAAATAAGGACCTTAAATAATAATAAAGTGAAACACTGGCAGGTACCAGCACCATCACTCTACAGAAAGTACCTTAAGGCCACAGAGTAGAAAGGGCAGAGTGTCAGAATTTTAGATGGAATAGATTCAACTTTAACTCACTACTGTAGACCAATAAACATGTCGTGACCGGCCACTTGCAAACTCTGAACTGTATGATCCCTTACTCTCTCCAGTTCTCCAAGAATCTCAAAAATATCCTTGGAAAATAGAATTGTAAATTGTAGGCTAGGTCAGATGTTTAGTGGTTGGGGTGTAGTTGACCCCTGATGCGTATGAGTAACGGGGAGCCAAGGCTTAGAGACGTGCAGACGTGGAGCCTTAGCAGAAGCCTGGCAGCATTAATTCTTCTGGATTTCTTTTCCTCCCAGGGTTGTCGGGCCTGGATGCTAAAGCTAGCGGGCGCTTAGGCACGAGGGCCATGGTGTACTACATGTCCACAACCATCATCGCCGCCGTGCTGGGGGTCATCCTGGTCTTGGCCATCCACCCTGGCAATCCCAAACTCAAGAAGCAGCTGGGGCCGGGGAAGAAGAACGATGAGGTGTCCAGCCTGGACGCCTTCCTGGATCTTATTCGAAATCTCTTCCCAGAAAACCTGGTCCAAGCCTGTTTCCAACAGGTAACCTGAGGTTCTGATTTTCTCTCTTCTCCAAACTTCTGAGTTATCAAGGAATGTCGAGAGAGGCCATTTCCAATGAACCAACTCTGGGTAGCAATTTTCTTAATATTTAATTATCTCTCTCCAGGCCCAGGGATTGGATGAAGTGGTCTGGGGCAGGATCTGAGGATTGGAGTCTCATGGTTTTTTTTTTTTTTTTTTTTTTTTAATCTTCCCTTTTCTCCTGCTCTCTTAGTGTGTGTGTGTGTGTGTGTGTGTGTGTGTGTGTGTGTGTGTATGTTGGTTTCTTCTTTTGTCTCTTCCTTTCTTTTCTGCTCCATCTCTGAATTGTGCCTGACATATTTTAATCAGTCTTGTTTACAACCCTCTGAAGCTTAGTAGTTCTCAATCTTGGCAGTATAACAAAACCCCGTGTGGCACTTTAAAAAAAGTTCAACCACCCTGCAAAATCAGAATTTTAAATCCATCTTTAAGATGGATGGGTGGCTTGGGTATTTTTTTTTAAAGCTGTGGAAATAGCACATGCATGGATTGTGAAAAGTTTAAACAGTATAAGAGGGAGATAAAATAAAAACTAGAAGATCCCCTCCCCCACTCTAGAGCCACTTAGGTTGAAATTTGTTTCTTTCCATATATATATATATATTGCCACATATGCATGTGTGCCTGTACTTAGAAGTGCAACCCAAGTGCAGTGTGTTACATGCACCTCTTTCTTTTTCACAATTGTATAATATTTCTATGGTGTAAGTTCCTAGAAGTGAAAATGCGCTGCCAGAAATCTTGGTACTTCGAATTGGCTGGATATTGCAAAGTAACCTTACAGAAAAGGGTTGAACTATGTATTCCTGCTGACAGCACACATGAATGTTTTTTTAAAAAAACTGTGACTTTTAAAAACTGTTGATTCTGCCAAGTAGAACCACTGAATAACCACTGAATCAGCTGCCTAGACTCTACTGGCTTATTTTCTGTCCCCAAGGCCAGTTAGAACTTACCGGAGTTCCCAGCAGCCCAGGGAGGGGCGAGGTGACAGCCATTGAGCCTCTGTCAACCATTTCCAGGGAATCACAAAAGAAGGAACTTAGGAGACAGAAGGGAAGTCTGTGTCCCAGTTGACCCCAAGATGCAGTTGCCAACCTCTGCTGAATCCAGAACACATGTGTTCTCTGATCTTAGATGCTATTTTACAAAGAAATGATAAATATTTGAGTGACAGATATGCCCACTATCCTGACTTGATCATTACACAGTGTGTACATATATCAAAACATCATGTTGTTGCCCATAAATATGTATAATAATTATGTTAACTAAAAACAAAATAAAACTTGAAGAAATGCAAGTTTGGTGGTACATGTAGCATGGACCTGTATCCAAGGAAATCATTCCAAGAGGAGAAGTATAATGGGAACCACTAGAATTAGACTGGAGAAGAGGGTGCTTTCTGTGCCCCCCCCCCCCCACCCCCCGCCATTGTGTCATGTGCTTGCCCAGCCGCCAGCCAGCTTAGAAAGATGAAATTACTTGCTTTGGAGTGACAGACGCAATTGGCTGCCAAGTCTATTCTTAAGATTTTGGAAGGAGCCCTCTGGAACTTCTGGAACTGTGGCTCCTGGGAGCTGAGCTAGGAGGAGACTCTGGAGGGTCGGAGCGTGGGAGGCCCTGGGAAGGACAGAGCTGGGCCTCCCTCCCTCCTGTGCCTCCAGATGCACTTCCTCTCAGTCTGGAAGGCAGGCCCACGAAGCAGTCAAGCCCTTGGAGCTGTGGTTCCGATCTTAAAATGAATTTCTGTGATGTCCGCTGGGCTCATATTCAGGGACCTCTCTGGCTGACAGACAGTCTTTGCAGATAGCTGTCCATGGCAAAGGCCACCGTCTGTGACCCTGAAATAGAGGAATGCACTATTCTCTGCCTCACCCTGGCTTGGTCCTACCCTCCAGTGACCAAAGTCATATGAGAACTGAGCTTTAGTCTCTAACTCAACCCAGGATTAGAGTTCCTTTCTGTTGGGACGACCTGAGGAATAATAGTGTAGACTCCTTTACCTCATGGAGCAGATTCCTTTAGCCTGAGTAGGAGGAGGGCCTTGGAGGAGAGGAGGCCATTCTTAAACAGCAACATGGCCTTGCAGAGAGATGGGGCAGGAGAGGCCCCTCTGTGCCCATGAGTCACAGCAGGAGTGGTGTGATATGCCGGTCTCCAGTGGAGCAGGCTTCCTGATCAGAGAAACAGAGACTAAAGAGGAAGAAAGGGAGCTGTCCCGAGCGAAGGCTGCCTTACCCAAGGACCTGGCTCGCTGGAGTCAGGCCCTGGGTCTCTGAGAGCAGGGAGGCTTCTGGCTTGGTGTTTAGAACTGACCAGACCAAGGTGAGGTTTCCAAGGGAGCAACTGGCTGTGACATGTAGCCTGACAGCACAGCTCCAGTCCAGCAAGAGGCCACGCAGGATCTTTTCTTCCAGGGAACTCAGCCAATGCCTGTGGGCCCTCTGCTCAGCATCAGATGCCCCAGGAATGAGAGAAGAGGGCGCAGCTCCAGGGCTTATGCATATCCAGGGGGAGGGAGAGAGCCCCAAACACGTGTCAGGTGAATACACAGGATAGGTGCCTTCTGAGGGCCGGATGACGTGGGCTGAGTAGTCACTAGGGGAGATATTTGAACTGAACCGATAGGAAATCAGAATGAGCTGGGCCTGTGGGAGGCTGGGAAGAGAGCCTTCCGAGCTGAGGCAGAGGCCAGTGGGTGGTGTTTAGAAAGGAGAAGGGAGGCTAGCGTGAGGCCACTGTGTAGGGAAAGAGCAGGAGAAAGCCCAGCACAGAGGGACCTGTAGGCCAAAGGCAGATGTGGGTTCTTCTAAGAGGGCTTGAGCCAGGGAGGTGACTGGTTTTCTATTTAAAATCACAAGAAGAATAAAATAATGAATCTGGCAGTTATGGAACTATAGGCAGCTATAACCGTAGATGGTAGGTAGACAAGAAGGAAGGTGAGTGAGTGAGTCAGGAGGGGTGTGTGTGTGTGTGTGTGTGTGTGTGTGTGTGTGTGTGTATGTATACTGGGGATTGGACCCAGGGCACTTTACCTCTATACTACACCCCCAGTCTTTTTTTTTTTTTTTTTTGAGACAGAGTCCCACTAACTTTCTGAGGCTGGCCTTGAACCTGGGATCCTCCTTCCCTAGCCTCCCTAGTTGCTGGAATTCAAGGCGTGCACTGCCACACCGGGTGATTCTGCAGCTCTTAAGCTGGGAGGTGAGGGTGACCTGGACTCAGGTCGACTAGAGCTGGCACCCATGTGGGGTTGTCCACCCCAGACAGGCTCTGTGTCTCCGGGACTCAGGCAGAGGATTAGGCCTGTGTTTCAGTGTTCCCGTGTCCTCAACTTCAACTTCAGTTCCTGGCCTGTCTATTTGGAAGCTGGATTTTGGAGTCAAGCATAATACCTTTTGACCCTTGCTTCTGTCACTAACTAGCAATCTGCTCTGGGGTTGGCCACTGACAGGGGCAGTAGGTGTCAAACCTGGAGCGCCTGGCCTTCTACCTGATCCCTGCAGCCACCGTATGCTGGGCCAATGACCATGGCTGCCTCTAACACGAGCCGTGGCTTCCTTTTGCCTCCTCAAGATAGGCTGTCAGTTTTCTTTCCTGGGAGCCTGATTCCGCTCTGTGGAGGCTTCCCCTCTGACCAGTCCTGTGTCTCTCTTTCCTACCACCATCTCCCGGAGCAAGGGGCCAGCAGGCTGCCTCTTCTCTCCTTGCACAGCCTGTCCCTGCCCTAGCGCCTGGGCCAGGCTGAGAACAGAGTACCCGACTCATCTCAGAGAATGCTGGCCTCCCTCTCTCCCATTTTTATCATCTGGTCAACTCAGCGCTGTCGCGCCCAGCGGCAGGAGGATTGGGTCCGCCTAGTCTAACGTGCAGCACAGGTAGAAGGAGCAACCTCAATGATGGTCAGGCCATTTGAGCTGAAGTCCCAGTTCTGCTAGTGACGATGACGTCTGAAGATCACTTGGCTTCTCCATGCGTCCTCTTTCATATCTATTCAGGTTCAGCCATCTGTCACCTTCTGCATGCCAGCTCTGACATTCTAGGATTCTGCCTGAGTTCTATTTTAATATCCTTGGAGGTGGTGCTTTTGGGGGCTCAGATGTGAGTTTTCACAGCGGTCTGTGTGCAAGGTGCCTGACACCTTTAAAAATAGGGCCGCTGCCCGGATATCGAGGAACGGCATGGGAGGTTCCTTGGGGGCCATCTGCGTGTAGTGACGTAGGGAGCACTGAGCTAAGGACAGTGGCCGGTACTGCCCAGAAAGAGCAGGTTTTCTTTCACCGAACACTACATTCAAAATACAAGCACATGCTCCTGCCATGGTGGCTGCGGGCAGCTGTCACACCTGGGGTCCTGATGGACACCCTGGTTCTGGAAGGAATCCAAAGTGAGAGTTGGCTTTTGATGACTGTCTGACAGGCAGGGAGAACCACCTCACTGGGTCTCCAGCTGGACATTTGATGTTGTCCCTGAGGCCCAGAGGTGCAATCATGGTAAAGAAAGACACCCATCCCCGACTTTCAGCTTGCGTTCTGTCGCACAGGACAAGCTAATTAACCAATCCTGTAATTATCTTGAGATAAAGACAGTTGTATCTCACGGTATGTGTGTAATAAAATATCATTTCTTAAATACAAACATATAAAATAGTCTCCAATTCTCATAACCTTGTTTTGGCATTTCTTCATTATTTTTAACATAAGGGACCCTTAAAATATATGAGTGGCGGGGCTTTTTGTGACCTTTCAGATCAAGTCTTATCTGTGTGCTTTTTTTGTTTTGTTTTTTTTTTTTTTGTTCCTCCATTAGATTCAAACAGTGACAAAGAAAGTCCTGGTGGCACCTGAGTCAGAGGAGACCAATGCAACCAACGCTGTTGTCTCCCTGATGAACGAGACTGTAATGGAGGCTCCCGAGGAAACTCAGATGGTTATCAAAAAGGGCCTGGAGTTCAAGGATGGGATGAATGTCTTAGGTAGGCAAACTGATTATGGGGGGGTTCCTGGCCCAGGGAGGCACCTCTGCCCGCTGGGCGCAGCCTTTCCTGCGGTTCAACCTCCTCCTCTCAGCAGCTCCACCTCCCTCACACCTTTTCAGAAAATTAACTCTGCTGACCTCTAGGTGGAGCAGGAGGCTCTCTCTGGGGAGCAACCTGAGTTTCTCTGAAGCTGATAAGAGCAAGGGGAACCGGGCTAGCAGTCAGGTATGGGAAAGAGGAGGGGGCTGACATTCACCGGGCACATTCCCTGCCTCTCTGATGTTGGCAAGTGATCTTATCCGAATCTCCATGTTATTCCGTGACACATGCATTTCTTTCGCTGCCTAAGTGTTGTTTGGTGCTGCCTGTCTGTACCAGTGCTGTGCTAGACAAGGTGTCCTCCCATCTGTAAACAAATGCAAAGCTACCAGTATCTTGGAGTATTGGAGTAGGGCCCCAGGGGCTTTGCAGATGGTCTGTTTAACTTTCTGGGATTCCAGGGAGCGCTTACCGCCAGCCAGGTGCCTTCTTAGCATTCCACCCCGGGAGTTCTTTGCTGCTGGCCAGACCTGGGTTTGGACCCTTTGTGGACCAGTCACTAGTTCTCTGACTTGGCACAAGTAGCTCCACTTTTCTGAGCCTCTGTTGTAAAATGGAGATGGGATTGTCATCTCCTTTGTGGATCCTTGTCAGGGTCACATGAGATTGTATATATAATACACAATAGTGCCTGCATGTGCTCCATTCAGATGGACTATGATCATTAATAAAAGTGGCTGAAGCCGGGTGTGGAGGCGCACACTTGTGATCCTAGCAGTTTGGGAAGCTGAGGCAGGAGGATAGCAAGTTCAAAGCCAGCTTCAACAACTTAGTGAGGCCCTAGCAACTTAGTGGGACCCTGTCTGTAAATAAAAAATAACAAGGACTGGGGGTGTAGCTCAGTGGTAAAGCACCCCGGGTTAAACTCCCAGTACCACAACCCCTATAAGTGGCTAAAGAGCTGGGGAGCTCAATCAAATGCACCCCCACAGAGATCTCCCTCACGTTGGTCGTTACACTTTGACCAGTTTACTCTGCACTCCCCCACATTATGGGGGCATGCTCCCCTTCATAATCTCCACCCACCACTAGAATGGAGTCCCTGAGACAAGAAAGAGGAACATTTATTCATAAGAGAAATGGGGAATCTGGTTTTCTGAGCCAGATCTTCCAAACGACACTTTGAAGAACTCAGCTGAGAGCATGTTAGATCTCAGCTATCTAAGGGGGCAAATGCTCCGTCTCCTTGGTTGGGTTGCCAAGTTGAAATACAGGGTACTCAATTAAATTTGAATTTTAGATAAATAATAAGTAACTTTAAAATGTAAGTATGTCCCAAATATTGCAGGGGATGTACAAATACCAAACAACAACAACAAAAAGTCACTGTGTATCTGACATTCAGAATGTAATTGGGGGGTCCCGTTTTTATTCTAAATCTTCTAACTTTGATATCCCTACTGCTCACCAATCAAGACTATTGAAAGGTAGTGCGAGCAGGACCTCCCAGTTACTGAGAAATGGAAGTGGGATCTCTTTTATTTGGCCTGGCAGATAGCAGGTTGGGTAAGTGATTGAGGGAACAGATAAGCTGACTAGGTTGCCAGGCAACAGGAATATCAATAAACATTGTTGATCATCAGTGGGAGGGGAGGGGTGGAAGGAGAGAGGAGAAAGTGGGAGAGTTCTGAGAAGGAGGCTTTGCAAATATCCTTGGCCTGTGAGCAGCTTCCTCCAACTGCCCAGATATCCATGGCCCTTTCAGGACCTTCCCAGTGCCCCCTGGTTTCTTCTGACAGGTCATAACTGGAGACCTAACTCTTTAAAAAAAAAAAATTTTTTTTCAGTAGTAGGTGAACACAATATCTTTATTTCATTTTTATGTGGTGCTGAGGATGGAACCCAGTGCCTCATACGTGCTAGGCGAGCACTGTACCACTGAGTCACAACCCTAGCCCCAAGACCCAAATCTTTGTCACAGTGTCTGCCCCCAACTCTGGAGAAGGTGGGGGTCCTGAATAACGAGGGGTCAAGGTTTTGGAGTGAATCATTCAGAGTCTTGGTGGAAAGTCACATGACCTTTGGCTGCGCTGGGGAGTTTCAACACAACTTGCAACCCTCCCAACCCCAGTGACCGCGCATCTAAGAGGGCTTTGTTCAAGTGAAACTCGCCAGTCCCAGTGAGTGATTTCAATTAGGCAATGTTTACCCAGGGAAACGACAAGTTGTATATGGGTTTCCATCCAAGTGCAGATCAAGGCTCTGGAAGCCAAAGGAAGTTAGGCTATTGAGAAACTTCCCATGTACCAATCATGGTCGAAATAAGGTTCTTTCCATGATCTTCCAGGGGTGGAGATGGAGCCTTTTTTGGTTTGGTTTTGTTTTTCCGTCTTTCTGCTCTTTGGCTTTGGAAAGTCCCAAGGATCCAACACATCAATAAATGAAGATACAGCCCTGGCTCTGCCTCACACTCCTTTAAGGACCTGTTTCTCTCCTTTAAAAACAAAACAAAACAAAATCTGAGCTCCATCTTAATCCCAACTGCTTAAATCAACTCCAATAGCTCTTTTTAAAATCTGTCTTCTGACTCATACATACAGTCCCTGTTCACTGACCCAGGGGGAAGCTTTTTCATTCCAATTCTTCGGGACCTTGAGACCCCATGCATTTTTCTCTTGAAGTTTTCAAATGGCATTAACCAAGTAAAACTGGGTATTCTCGGCCAGAATATCCACAGATTTATTATTTTTCACTCAGAAAACTGCTTTCCCTGGGCTTGAGAGAAGGGTTTAGGAGTAGCCTGAGATTGATCTTACACATTATTTAGAGCTAGTCTGCTGGGTTCTGGATCCAATCTTCCCTAAGCCCTTGTCTTTCTTGGGTGAATAACTCACATGTGAAGTCACTAGTTAAACCTTATGGCCAAAAGCTAAAAGTGGAGATATTAAATGCTAAACATTAGCAATTTAGAAAGCATAAGAGTTGGATTCTTTTTGCTGGAGAGAGAGAGAGAGAGAGAGAGAGAGAGAGAGAGAGAGAGAGAGAGATTCCCACAAAGGTTAGCTAAATAATTTGGGTAGAGATGTGCTTTTTACAGGTTGCGGTGACTAGGGAAAGCATGGAGTCAGAGATTCAATGACAGAACTTGACTAAGAAAGTCAAGTTATAACGCTATAATTTACCTGACATAGGTCAGGATTCCAAGCATACCTGCACACAATAGGAAACTGGATATAATGGGGAGAGACTGGAAATAGGGCTGCCAAACTGGGACAGGGTTGGTGTGGAGATAGAGAATAGAGGGAAGGGGGTAGAAGATGGACCATGCTTCATGGTCAGGGTCAAAACCACATGACAAGCAAAGCCTGTACCAAAGGTATAACAAGATTTATACATAGTTCACGCAAATAGTCAGAAATAGCCCCCAAACCAAGAATAATGAGTCAGAGGTTGGGGAACCCATAGCAATTGGCAATCAGAAATCCAGATCAGCCTCAGGAGGTACTGGGGATGTCTGTGGGCCATGTGTGTGCCCCAGTCCCACCAGGTTGGGGTGAAATTCTGAGGGGGAGAGTGGAAAGGATTAACTGGAGTGGCAGAGGGAATCTTCTAGGGAGGGAAAACCAGGATCAGCCTTGGAGGAATTAAACTTCAGGGCAGATTCCCAGGACCTCAGGCGCAGGTGATGAGGCAAAAACTAACACAGAAATAAGACCCAAGGTTGAGAGTTGGACTTAGTCCAGGACTTAGTCAATTGCATGCTGACTGACATCAAGAGGGTGGGGACCCAACTTCTCAAATCCTTCCCGCCTGGGATTAGGATTGACCCTGGAGGCTGGCATGGGGCTAAACTAGGATGTGAAGTGAATGGAGGAGAGGGGAGAGGGGCTAGGGACTAGCAAAATCTGACAGTGAAGTCTACATTCAGCCTTTATGATCTTGAAAAAGATAGATAAAAAAGAAGGTATTCTAACCATTTAATCATGAAAATAATTATGACAAATTAGAACATAAATAACAGGTTGAATTCAAACAAGATAAATTGGGGTTTCCCAATTGGCTTTGGATTTCTTATCACTTTCCATTTGAATTTTCAACATTCTTCCTCCTTTTCACGTTAGGTAAAAAGAATAGAAAGAATAGAATATACAAGAATAGAAAAATAATTTTATCTCTAGGGTTTTCCAAGAGTGAAACATGCCAACCATTTATTATGTGGGGAATAAGACCCAAATAATCTAGACATAACCCTAGCAAAGACTTTATTAACTAATTGGTCTCTGCTGTTCCAATATTGGCTGCAAAGTTTGCATGATAATCTCCAAGTCCCAACAAGTCTTTCTTCATTAATCTATGTAATAATGGAATCTGCTTACACGTGGTTTCACAGGATTTCACAAGTGAGGAGGGAAAGAAGAGAGCACTTTTTTTTTTTTTTAGCTAGAAATGAAAATGAATTAATTTTCTTCAAGGAACTGACACTTAAACTACTTGGAGTTTAACCTGCTGATGTGGAAAGTGTTAAGGAAAGTTGTGATTATCCAGGGAGAAAATACTTTCAGTGTGAAATATGATGGTTTTGTCTCTTGATTCCCAGGGTAAATGGCTCCCTCCCCTACATTGGGAATGGTAAAGACAGAGGGAAAAGAAGCACATGGTTTATAATTTGCCCTTATGTGTAATGTGATTCCCCCAACAGGTCTGATAGGATTTTTCATTGCCTTCGGCATCGCCATGGGGAAGATGGGTGAGCAAGCCAAGCTGATGGTGGAGTTCTTCAACATTTTGAATGAGATTGTAATGAAGTTAGTGATCATGATCATGTGGTAAGTTGTGTGTTCTTTATCGTAGTGGGAAATGCCAAGGCCTAGGGGTCCCCAGAGGATACTGGACCCTCCCTGCAGGAAAGAGTGGGTATGCACTGTCAAGTGGCTTTCTAGAAAGACCTTGAGAAAAGATGGAAATATTTTCTTGAGCTTCCCCTAGAACAGGGGCCAACATATAGTGACCGTGGAGTCAAATCTGATATATCACTTATTTTGTAGGTCTCATAAGCTGAGGATAGGTTTAACTGTTTTAAGTGTCTGTCTTAGTTCAGGCTGCTGTAACAAAGTACTGAGTAGCTCATCCATGACAAAGATTTGTTGTGCAGAGTTCTGGAGGCTGGCAGTCTGAGATCCGGGTGCCAGCATGGTTGGGTTCTGGTGAGGGCCCTCTTCTAGGTTGTAGATGACCAACTTCTCACCGGATCTTCACTTGGTGAAAAGAGAGTTAGAAACCCTCTTATATCCTTTAGAAGGACATTCTTTCAGTTCATTCCAGCTGCTATAAAAAATGCCTTAGACTGGGTAAATTATGAAGAATAGAAATCGACTGCTCATAGTTCTATAGATTAGGAAGCCCAAAATTAAGGCATTAACAGCCTTGGTGTCTGGTGAGAGCCTTTTCCTCATAGACGATTCCTTCTATATGTAGAAGGGGCAAGCAGGCCTCCTCAAGCCTTTTTGATAAGGACACTAACCCCCTTCTTGAGGACTCTCCTCCTGAATGGCCCACTTGCCAACACTCTGCATGAGAAATTAAGTTTCAATGTATGAATTTTGGGGGGAAACACAAACATTCAAAATGTAGCAGGCACTAACCCCCCTTAGTAGAGCTTCACTATCATAATCTAATCACATCCAAACAACCCCCACCGCCTAATATCATCACATTGGCAGCTACAATTTCAACACATGAATGGAGAGGGGCACAAATGTTCAGCTGATTGCAATGCTTAAAAAGCAAAGAAAATCAAAAGAATAGTGTTCCATGACACATGAAAATTATGTGGAATTCACATTCAGTGTCCATAAACAAAGTTTTATTGGAACACAGCCATGCCCATTTGTTTTTACACATTTCCTGTGGCTGCTTGCTTATTATAACAGCAGAGTTTAATAGTTGCCACTGTGACTGTAGATTTCCCCAAAACTAAAGTATATACTGCCTGGCTCTTCACATTAAAAAGTCTGCTGATCCCTACACTGGAAGAAAAAGGAACAAGACTGAAAAACCAACCAGTAATACTACAGATGAACCGTATCAGAGATGTAAGACCAACCCAAGATACCAGAGACAAGGCCTGATCCAAGGATTGTGGAGATTCTGATCCAATATTCTAAACTCCAAAAGTAATGTCTTCCACCCGGGTCACTCGTGATTTGTACAGAAGAGGAAAGAGGCAGTTGTCAGCCATGTGGGCAACAGTGAGTTTGCAGAGGTTGTGCTAAAACCGGACGTGCTCTTAGAAATCTGGTCCCACCCACTGGTTTCCCAACTCTGCTGAGTGTTTACTGAGCAATACTACATAAAGCAGAATAGGCCTCTCGCCTACATATTAGAATCTGCTCTTGTTCCCTAGAATTCACAGCACAAGGTACATCCTTGTTCTAAAGACACAGTTTATATTTCTGAATATGATGCCAACCATGTGGATAATGTATAAAAATTGTGTTCATCTATACCAACATCATTTCTACTGAACCCTTGCAGAAAATAGAATCTTCTAGGCAATCTGATGAGTCAGGGGGATAGAGCATAGTCTCCCTTCTCCTCATGGGTGAAGGGTGGTGTGGATTAAGAAGAAGTTTCCCATCCATTGAAACCAAAACTCTTACAGATTTAACCTCGTTCTCTGGGAGATGAAGGGCCATTGTGAGGCATGATTCCTGACAGCTGTCTGGTTGCCTCATCTAGGTAGTCAGGAGGGTGTTCTACATACGAGGTGCCAATTCTACACATTCTATTCATTCTTTAGCCACCTCATGAGCAGCATCATCATTTGATAATGACGTAGTTGTGAGAAGGCTCTGGGAAAACAGCCAACTACCCTTTAACTGACCCCTCAAGTTAAAATCATCAGAGTTCTTTTGTATTCTTCTCTATGTAATAGTAAAAGTTTGAAATAGTAGCAAAATATAGCATTGAAAAACTAATAATAGTAATTATTAACTTTTAACAGTTGTTAAATTCTTGCTATTTGTTCATTATTATTGTGATTACTGTATATGTATTAACCCATCTATTATTGAGGAAATTATAGTTATTATTGTTAAATCACAGTTAAGATTTACCAAATTCCTGCTATATGCTTGATATAGTTCTATTTATTTTACATGCCTTAACTCACTCATTCCTCACAATAGTAACTAGATACTTAATAGATACATAAATAGATACTTCTTTTAGCCCATTTTCCAGGTGAGAAAACTAAGCACAAAGGTTGACTTTCCCAAGTTCTTTGGAGCTATATGAGCTACCTAACTCAATTTCTTTCTGTCTTCAGATCAGATTGAATCTGAGATCCTCCTGTTACAGGCTGTGTGAACTTAGGCAGGTTAGACACATTCTAAACCCCAGTATCTTCACTGTAAAATGAGATGATTGTAGAATTCGTGTCATTGGGTTGCTACGAGAATTAGATGAGACTGTGAAACAGTCCTGGAACATTTCCTGTGTGTCAGGAACTATCTGAGTGCTTTGCACAAATTAGTATCAAAATGGTAATTTTGAGATCAGCGTCATTATCATCAATTTGAGCCGTATCTTGCGTATTTCTGTGTTCAGGAATTCTCTACAAAGCCTGAAACACCCTTCATTTTGGTGTGATTTTTTTCATATCCTCTTTTTTTCTTTTTTGGAAAATCTGAAAAACTTAAGTAGAAGGTAAAACTCTCATAATCTTCTACTCTGAAAACAAAAAGGAGTAAGTAAAATCTCTATGCACCCTTCTAATTCTTTCTCCCACTTAACCACTGCCTTCCACCAACCGTCCACACTGTTAAAACGAAACTTCCTAGTGATACTTGTTAAGAAAATGAGGAAGGCATTATTCAGGACCATCTTGAGGTCTGGGGACCGTGGCAATGGATGATGCTGTGGGGGAGAGAGAATAGGCTCCACCTCTAGTACAGCTGGGCAAGTGGGGAATTGGGAGCCAAGGAGCAGGCTGGAGGTCAGTGGAGGGAAAATTTCTAAGTGGTCATCAGGAGTGAGAGATTGTGGCTAAACTGACTTAATGGGATTCTGGCTACAGACAGGTCAGGGTGAAGACATCAGCTGGGAGATGGAGGATGAGGAACCTGATCAGATATGCACAGTGATGAGAAGTGAGGATGGGATTCCTGCTAAGTGACTCAGAAGGGCTCTTTCAGGAAGTACAGGGGTGGACCTAGAAGGTGGAGGAGCCCCACTAAGTTTAGTCAGCCCGCATATTCTCTCATTCAGTACATATCTCTTCTGTCTATCATGGCGAATAAGACAGAGGAAATTCTCTGCCCTCATGAAGCTTACGTTCTAGGGAAAGGAGAGAAGAGAGAACAAACGGAAGCACATAATTCAAATAGTAATAAGTTCTACCAAGACAATAAAGCAGGGATGTGGGATAGAGTGATATGGGGGTGAGGGTGAGGGGCCAGGCAGGGCTCTCCTGAGGGGAAGGCAACGCCATGAAGACCTGAAGAGTGGGAGGGTTTTGAAAATCAGGACAAAGGTCTGCAGTGGCCAGAGTGTGGTCAGTTGGTGAGACAGGGATAGAAGGCAAGGGAGGTGGACAGGCAGATAGATAGTAGGCAGAACAGGAAGACCCTGCAGGCCAGCTGATGGACTGGGGTTTATTTACTTGTGAAACTAAATCCATGGGGTTCCCCCCACCCTTTTTTTTGGAGGGGTAGGGAGGTGGGCAACAACCCTGGAGTCTATATGAACTGAATTTTACTCTTTCCAGATAAAAGTTCTAATCTACATGTGGTCTCTCTCAACAAAAATTCCTCTTGGGTAACTGAAATAACTATCCCTACCTGGGAAAAAATTGAGGTTTGGAGCTTTTCTGAGCCTGAGTCCAGACAGCATTTTGAATCAACTCTTGGGATGTGGGGTTACCTCTTTATTGATGGTCTCTTTTAATTCTGAATTCTCTTGAGATCCATCCCAAACTGTCACATGGGGGTTGCTACTGGAAACTATGGGACAGAACCAGAGGGAGTTTAGAGCAGGACTGAGAAAGTCCCTTGGCTTACCTCCATTCCCAGAGACTATCCTACCATCTGTCCCAAGCTTGAAAGTCCCAAATTTATCATTTTAGTGGGTTGGACGTCAAAGGTCTTGAGTAAATTGGAGCTAAGGTAAATGGTCTCCAAAGGCTAACCAAGTTCTATTTGCAGTTCCTCATTGGCCGATGAGATGTCTGTTCCTTGAAACAGTGGTTTCCAAACACATCAGGCCAGCTTTAGGTGGTGAGTTTTGGGAACACACACTGTTAAGACAGCCGGGCAGTGGTGACGCAGGTGGCCCATGAGTGCAGACACTGGTAGGTTGAGTGCTGGGGATGAGTTTGTGGAGTGGAGACCACGGGAAGGGGTATCTTTCTGGGCAAGTGGGGAATTGGGAGAACTGAGGTTCTTAGTGGGTAGAGGCTGGAATGGATGTCATAGCAGTAAGAACAAGACTCAGGCCAGCTCTTAATGATTAGTGGCCTTGACACAATGAACAGAACTGAGAATATCACCAGCTGAGGGTGGCATGGGAGTGAATTCACACCTGCAGCTCAGGGCTCATGTCCTTCTAACTTAGAAACAGGCCCAAGAATGACTGGACATCACTTTTTACTTTTCTACAGAACTCTCAGTTGGTCATGTAGCCTCTTGACTTTGTTGGTTTGTGACTTTCTTGGCTTCGTCTCAGAAACTTTGAGTGGTGACTGACTTTAGACCCTGGGCGTAGACCCTATCTTTTCCATGGAATGTCATTTTCAATGAGATGATTCGTTGATCTGGAAGCCAGGAACTCAGAATCTCAGCTTCTGAGTGAAGACTTGGTATTTGTTTAAAAAACAGTTGCAGGGAAGTAACAGCCCCTAACCTTAACCCAGAACAAAGGCTCTTTTCTTGTCCTAATCAATGCTCATACGAGTCCTGGACACAAGGTGTTTGGTAAACAAGGGCTCCTGCATTCCATGTTTATTGACCAGAACACTTCACCTTCTGTCCCTTGACTAACACTCTCCATTTACACTGGGAGCTCCTGCTTTCCCCTTGAGCAGAGGGCTCCAGAGGTAAACTCCTGCCTCTCTCTAGTCCATTTGGCTCTGGCTCAAATGAGCTCTCCAGGGCACTCCAATAGCTGGTCTTCCTTGGCAAAGAGCCTTGAAAACATTTTCTCTCCATTCTACAAACTGCTTGACCCAGATTGGGAGAGGGAGGGGGAATGGAACGGTACCCCAAACAGCTCATGTCTGTGTTTTTTTTCTGGACATTGTTAAAGGGTGATTGGTGCTTGGGAAAGAATTGATCTCTTGGTTTATGAAGATAAACACATTCTGGCTTTATAAGAAGGTGCATTTCTGCTTAGTTATTTACAATGAGACTACCCTGCTGATTTATGAGTTTTTGTGACCATGGATACAGCAGGAGAATGTAAGACAGCGGGAAAGACAACGGATCAATGTCATGACAGAGGTTTCAGCCTTGCTAATGTTTAGGAAAGTAGGCCTCAATCATGGCCAGCCTGTGCCCCAGGGAAAGGATCATAAGGGCCAGGCTGGATGGTCTTCAGGAAAGAGAGGGGCTATGCTCCTGTTCTATCTCATTACTGTCAGTTACTATCCTGGCTCACCCAGGATAAACTTCCTCTTGAGATAATATTTTGCTCAGAAAAGCATCTGCCATTGGGTGGCCTGCGAGATGTCTTAGGAAGCCTCGTTAATTCCGAGTTGACTCATTAAGCATTGACGATGAGGGGACACTGGGTATACGTGTGACCCCAGAGCCTCTGAGGGATTCCTGTGTCAGGAGTCAGAGAACTAACGGTCCTGGCAGGCACGGAGGAGGAGATTGAGTTTCAGCCATGCGTTCCTATGCGTGTTCAAAAGTTTCAAACTCACATCACCAGGTGAGGTTGGAGTCAGTCTCCGTACACCTGGACAGCCGTGTCTGTAAAATGGGAATCAAGGTCACATAGTGGTGACGCAGGTGGCCCATGAGTGCAAGGTCACATAGCTGACAGGTGGCTGGACCAGCCTTGTGTCTTCTGCTGTTGCCTGTGTGACTCGCACCTGCTCTTCTGTAACCCAGGGAAGGACTTGGTCCAGGTGCAACTGAAAAACACAAGTTCCTTGAGGCAAGTGCTTTCTTTCCAGACTCCCTGCCCCTGCGGGGAGCCTTATGTGGGGGCTCCATCCACCACATGGTCTTTCTCACAAATATGTTTATCATTTTAAATAACATATCAACCTTCCTACAAATATGTTCATTTCAGCCAGAAACTATCACAGGCCGAACAAATTCATGTCCCAGCAACACCACATGGGATAAAAGAGAAGAAGAAGGAAAAACAGGATGTTGCCAACACACAGAGAATAAGCTCAAGATGAGAGAGAAAACGGTTGGCTTTCCCAAGGGTGGGAACCAAATCAGTTCCCAAGCTCTCCATAAAACAACGATAAGCTAGGGATAGACAATAAGCTTATAGGGCAGATGGGGATGCGGTGGGTTGTCTGCTTATCTTCCAATAACTGGGATTCCTCACTAAAGGGAAGTCACTTGGCTTGAGAGAGGAAAACCCCTGGGTCGTGGAGATCCACAGACCTGAGTTGTTCTTTTACTTCCTGGTCTTGTGGCTCTTAGGCTGCTTATTGAACTTCCCCAAACTACAGTTTCTTCACTTGCCATATGAGAATAACAATGTCTAGATTTTAGTGTTGTGGTGAGAATTAAATGAGGCTCTAAGCCGGGTGCGGTGGTGCATGCCTGTAGTCCCAGCAGCTAGAGAGGCTAAGGCAGGAGGACAGAGAGTTCAAAGCCAGCCTCAGCAAAAGTGAAGCCCTAAGCAACTCAGTGAGACCCTGTCTCTAAATAAAATATAAAATGGGGATAAGGCTGTGGCTCAGTGGTTGAGTTCCCTGGTCAATCCCCAGTAAAAATAGATAAACAAACAAACAAATAAATAAATAAAGGAGGCTGAGTGTCCCTTTCTCACCAGGATGCTTGAAAACACAACGAACAGTGGTCAGCTTTATTGTTAAGGAAGAAGTAGTTTCAGGCTTAGAAGTGGTAAAACCACACTTCTCTAAATGCACACTTTGGTTTCAGGTGGTTTTCTTATTTTGGTAGTGTTTCTCTCTCTCTCTCTCTCTGTTTGAATATATATATATATTCCCTGCCTTACAAACAAAGCAATGCAAATTTACAAACCCCAGTTTATAAATTTCTGAAAAGCTCTAAAAGTTATCCCCAATGTCTAAGAAGGAGCTGCAGGGCACAAAAATCCAACAAGTCAGTTTCCCAGAGATAGAACCCTCACCTCTCACTTTTTCACTTGGCGGCTCAAGAAAGACGGTTGAGGTGAAAGGTGATAAGGCGAGTCCCTCTTATTCCCCAAACACACCTCAGCAGCACAGTGTGCCTTTGGACTCTTCGTCAGAGCAGGCGTCATTAGGTGCATAAACCAGACTTCAGTTAAAGCCATTAATCCAGAGGAAAAACAACATCCATTGAATCTCATGACCCCTTTTCTGAGCAGAACTCTTTTTGTGCGGAAAATGAACGGTTTCCCTGAGGGTGAAGAACATAGGAGGGCCCAGATTTGAGTTCTGAATCCCCTAATGATCTCTTCAATGCTCTTTCTTTCCTGTGTGTTTTTCAGGTACTCTCCCCTGGGTATCGCCTGCCTAATCTGTGGGAAGATCATTGCCATCAAGGACTTAGAAGTGGTTGCTAGGCAACTGGGGATGTACATGGTCACCGTGATCGTGGGCCTCATCATCCACGGGGGCATCTTTCTCCCTTTGATTTACTTTCTGGTGACCAGGAAAAACCCGTTCTCCTTTTTTGCTGGCATTTTTCAAGCTTGGATCACTGCCCTGGGCACTGCTTCCAGGTAGAGAATATGAGAAATCACCTTTCTTTCTGTTTCGTCCTTTGCCCCATTGGCCACTTCCCGTTTCTCAAAATCCTCCGGTTGCAAAGTTCAATGAGAACACTTTTCACAAATTATTAAAATCCTTTAGGAAAGGTGAACACTTCAAATTTTTGGCCTTTTTCTAGGAACCTCCAAGCCTTCTGATGAACATTTTTGTTGCTGTGCAACTGAATTGGAAACATGATATTATATTTTTAAATGAATGCACACTATCAATTTGCATGCCTAACTTGCTACATAAATCATTGATTCAGTTTGGTTTTATGTCTTTTCCAGAAGGGTGTTACAGGATGTTGTTCAATTAACATCCCACCTATGATTTGGAAAAATGATATAAAAAAGTTTCACTCTTGAGATTTGGGGAAACAATTTTTCAAAAAGAGGAGGGCTTTTACAGGGTGAATGGTATATTAAGTGAGATTTTTCCAACAAAATGAGCCAAGCCTCAAAGCCAAGCCTTTGCCCTCAATATGAACCTTTAATGGGCCATTCCGCCCCAGCTTAATTTTTTTTTTTCTCAAAATCAAATTGACTTGACTTGACCTTGACATAGAGTCAGATCCTCCATGACCTCATGCCAGTGCCTAGGGAGCCAAGGAGCATCGCAAATATATGCAAGGAAAATAATTTTTTAAAATATAATCTTGGAGCCCAATTAGCAAAAGCAACACATAATAAAAAAATAAAGAAATATGAATACATAAGAAATGCCTGGTTATTCAGAATTTCAAAGGCTAAAAGACTTTTATTACTTCAGGATTCTATAGTTGTTTTTGCCTCTGTGTCCATAGGTCACAAAATCAAGTCTGAGATCATGAAACAGATGGCAGTGAGGGCCAGCAAACTCTGAATCCCACAGCTTGAAGCCAGATCCTGGTTGCTAAGCCCACACACCGCTGGTGAGGTGGCCCCTCTGTGACACAGGTGTGGCCAAGCTGACCTAAGGCTACTGAGCAGGCCGTCAGTTTTTCCTGAAATGACCTACCAGGCCCAAAGTGGTAACCACCTGGGAAGCCAAATTATATTTCCGTCTTGCAAATCAATGAGAATTTGGCATTAACAGAACATAGGCTTTCATAAAAAGCTAAAATATATACATACCATCCTGGGGACCCAGATTCAGCATCCTATTTCCTAAGATGAAGGGAAACACTTTAAAATTTGCTTTTTTTAAACTTGGTTCTATAAATTATCTGTGACTAAGTATCTCTATCTATAATGACCCTCTCCCTTTAGAGGAAAAGTAAATCTTTTTTTTTTCAAAACTAAAAACAACCTTACTCGATTGATTTTATTTTTGTTTACTAATTATGAGTGTGGTATTTGCTCATAGTGATAAAGTTCAGATAGTAAATAAAATTTTGAATAACATAATGAACATGACAAGTCAGTTATTTTATCCCCAAGTGATGATTGCTAATAACTTTTTAGTTAATCTTTATAGTTACATATATCTGTCCAGGCTTACTATGTATATGTATTGATTTGGAAACTGCTATTTTTCACTGATCAACATATAATTAAAAAATGATGTTCATTCATAGATTTTTTTTTACTACTATTTTGTAAAGTACTGTATGTACTATGGTACAAACTCCATCCCTTTCCACCCCCAGTAATATACATTTAAAGCCTGTCTATTAAAGGGGGCTGTGACAAGAATCCTTATAAGTATATCTCTGCAAGTTTGTCTGATGATCTGTGGAGGACATACGTCTAGAAGTGGAACTCCTGAGTCAAATGGTGTACATATTGACAGTTTTGAAACATATCACCCAATTGCAATTCAGAAAAGTACACTATTTTATGTTTGCACTAACTAGAGTGAGCCCTTCCCTTCCTACATGCCAGGAAGGCCAGATATTCTGAATAAGTGTCAGTCACTTTAATACATTCCATTCTCATTGGTGAAAAGCTATCTCATTGAATCTGTGTATCTTGGAGTACTAACAAGGGGAAACATCTTTTCCTGTGCTTATTGATCCTTCTCCCCTCCCTGCCCACCCTGCACTACTCTCCCCACCTTTTGAATTGTATGTGAACCAGCTCGTTTTTTGTTTTGTTTTGTTTTGTTTTTTAAATCCTCTTCTGCTCTGTTTTCAAGCTTTTTTTGTGTGTCCTGTGCCACATGTTGCAATGATGCCCCTCCCACTTGACTTGGCCAAAAAAATTCACAGTGCTCTTTTGCCACCAAAAGTTTTAAATTTGTCCCTTGTCAAAACTGTAAACATTTCCCTTACTATAAGGAATTTCAGTTTTGCTCAAGCATATGTTTCTATTCACAATTTCAAAATATTACTTTATGTTTTCTTCTAGTACCCTTATGATTTTTATCTTTAAATGGTTTCAAAAATATACATATTTTTTTCTTTTGAATGAGCAGACCATTATTCCAGTGCTTTTTAGGATGAGTCAAGGCATATCCTCGTATTTAAATCAAAGATAAATGCTTGGACCAAGACTACAAATATTAGAATTATTTCTCCCTTTACCCCTGCATTTCATTTGAACAAAACATATGGTTTTAATCTTCCCCTAAAAACATAATTTTTGCCTGGATGTCGAGTTTCCTTTTTGAAAAAGGCAATGTGGCAGGAATCATATACCAAAAATTAATTGAGAATTTCTTTGTCATAATGGACACAAGGGAGATTAAAAAAAAAAATCTCAGGGACAGTCTGTTAAATACACTTTCTGCTTCTTTGGACCTTATTCTGAATGAGGACATTGAAAGTGGTTGATTTGCTCTTCTGGATGGGTACAGAGTCTGGTGACAAGGAAGACAGATGGAGGGGTGTGGCCCAGATCAGACCTCTGTGCATCCCTGGGACTTCAGTGTATGCCATTAAAACTCATCTGGAAAGCAGGAAGACTCTCCAGAATCTGACATTATTATTAGCAACATTTGAAGACAGTCCTATGGCCTTTGAGGCAGGAGCCAAAAAGCAGTGCCAGAATGCCAGCCTGTCAACACAGGAAAGCATTGACATTCTCAAGTCCTGGTTTGGATTGATTGGGTCTTTGTGGATTTTCAAGACACAAATATAAAGTCTGTCCAGTGGAGAAATAGAGAATATTTTCATGCCTTACCAATATTTTTTCCATTTTTTTTAATTGTCTAAAGACCCTTTGATGACATTTTGGGAAAATGAATAATAAATATTATGCAATAATAAAAATTAATATATTCCAGTGATCCAGAAGTTTGCTTAGGGCCATGTGATAGAGGATCCAGCTGCCAGCCATGACTGAGCAGCCCTTTTAGACCAGCTATGGTGTCCTGGCAACCCTTTGAAACAGTCCCAGGAAATGATGGGGGTAAAGGGTGAGAGAGATAAAGAGACACTAATTTCTCATTAAAACATCTGGGCAGCAAGCCAGGTACAATGGCATCTTATGCATGCAAAAAAACAGCAAAACAATGTTTCTACTGGGCTTATAATGTTTTAGTAATGGGATAACCCCCAGATATACATTTCTTTTTCTTATGATGAGTCATTATATAGACCTCTGACTTATAATCACAAAGGATGTTCTGGCAAGATGATTCTGAGCCCCCTAAGGTTATTATTATTAGCTTGTAAGTCTGTTTAAGATGCATATCAGACCTGTAATCCCAGCGGTTTGGGAGGCTGAGGCAGGATGATCGTAAGTTCAAGGCCAGCCTCAGTAACTAAGCAAGGCCTTAATCAATTTAGCAAGACCCTGTCTCAAAATTAAAAAATTAAAAAAGAAAGAAAGAAAAAGGGCTAGGAATGTGACTTGGTGGTTAAACAGCCCTAGATTCAATCTCTAGTACCAAAAAAAAAAAAAGTGCAGATTTGGATGTCTCTAATTTTAGAGCTTCTGGGTTCCCTGGTCCTGAACAGTATCTGGGATCTGCACTTCACTTAGATGTTGGTCTTCTCTCACTCTGAGAAACCTGGATTTTTGTTATCTGTCTCTAGCCTATTTGGAGCCCCAATTCTGACTTGTAGAAAGTATTGATTATGACTGAGGCTCTAAGTGCAAGAGAGTAGACATTTCCAAATGCTCTCTGCATTCAGGGTTTTCCAATGCACTGTGCTAAGATTTGAATAGGAAACAATTCAAAAGAGAATGAGCCACGAAGTGCTCTCATGCCATTTGAGTGTTCTACATTGCTTTCCATATTACTTAAACTTTGAAGCAAATCTGCCCAACCGCCTATGCACCTCTCCACAAGGACATCATATTCTGGCCTTCAGCAGCCTTTGTTCTAAGAAGTCTCTATTTTAGAAGCTATATGGAGATGCCAGGATTCTAGGCTTTGACACTGGGTCATATGGTTTAATCTCCAACCCACGCCTGGGAGGAGTGTGAGTGAAGTCACTCCATATTGTCTTTGATTAGCTACAGATCACATGCCTTACTGCCCCAAGTCATTGTAGAGATTTAGAGTTGGCTGATGGCCATATATCAGGGAGTTGGACTCTATGTGAGGTTCCCCCAGCTTGAAGTTTGGGTTCATGCTGAAGAGTAACTTGACATTTTTGTCCTGCATTCTCTAAATTAGCAGGCCAAGCTCAGGGCAATTCCCAGGGGCTGGATGCAATTCATGTAGTCATTTTGTTGGAAACAGTCTTTCTAGCATGAAATTATGGGTCATTCAAAAATTCCTCAGTCCATTTTACTATTGACAGCTGATTCTTTCTCAGCTTTTTTTTTTTTTTTGCAGCCCAATTCGTGTGGGCAATCAGATGTGCTTCAGTATTTAATCCAAGATGGAAATAGTGACCAAAAGAAAAAGAGAACTTGAAGCTCTGAGTAGACCTCAAAACCAAAACCAACAAAAATATCTTTCTGCCTATTAGCATCTTAATAAGATTGAAGTTGAGCCTCTAACTCACTGGTTTTTAATTTGGCTCCAGATACTGCTTTTCTGCATGTCACATTGCCTGATGAGAACAAAAGAACAAAAAATTTGCAGTGTCATTCCATTTGTTCTTTGTCCTAATTCTCCAAAGCAGACATAACCCTCTTTCTCTCTGTTTCTTTCTGTCCCCCAGTGCTGGAACTTTGCCTGTTACCTTCCGTTGCCTAGAAGAAAATCTAGGGATCGATAAGCGCGTGACCAGATTTGTCCTCCCAGTTGGAGCAACCATTAACATGGATGGTACAGCCCTTTATGAAGCGGTGGCCGCCATCTTTATTGCCCAAATGAATGGTGTCATTCTGGATGGAGGCCAGATTGTGACTGTGAGGTGAGAAAGTGGATGGGACAGGGCGAAGGGGGATGAGGACAGCAGAGTGACAACCTTCTACCCTGTTGCATCTCCACACTAACTCCATTTGACAGAGGCTACTTGAATTTCAGTTTTCCTAGTGGATGAAGGAAATAACAGAGGAGGAATTGTTGGCCACCTTCAAGGGGAAAGGTTGTGACAGAAAAGCAGCAGACTCATATGAATCCCTTCTGTTTGTATTACACATATTGACTCTATCCAGCAATTGAATATTATTTGATTATTGACAATCTTGTGGTACAGGCAGGACAATTATTTCTATGCCTATTTAATAAACAAGGAAACTCAGGCTACAGGAAGCATGGATATTTGTCCGAGGTTGCACCACTAGTCAGTCCTGAGTTGGCAAGGCTTTAACTGGGGCTGACATAGGCTGATTCTGGATCTAATTTTTCTTTCGTTAAATATTCTTCCTTTAGTATTCCAGGCAGTGATGGCAGAAATTATGAAATGCTGGAAGAAATGATTCCTCAATATGACATATAACATTTTATTACAAATAAATAGCACATATTTTTGTTTTTACTAAAGCTATTTAAAAAAATTCAGAACACTCCCAAGAGGTCATTAAAAATGCATTGCTTCTCTACAAACTTAAAGATCACATTTACTAGCCAGGCCAACTTTTTAGCTTCTTGCTTAGATGTTATTTAAAACATCAGTCTTCAAATGGTTCCTTGTATAGACATTATAGCATGAAATAAAACTCTTTGCAATCATCATTTTAAGATTATCATTCCCAGTCCAACTAAGAGTTCAGATAAGTTAGAAGACAGTTTTTGGCTTTGATTAAAGTCAAACTAAACAAGACAAAAATAATTAGCTGGCTACTGGTCTTATTCATGTCCTGTTTCTACTCCTAGATTCTCCTTATCTGCAAATAAGGAAGATATTCAGAATTAGGGACTGTAAATTGGTAGTTCATGGGCTGAAGCCAGCTCAGAGTCTCACTTTGTCTGCCCTACAGTATGTTGTAAAAAGTTAGAATTTTACTGTCTTGTAAGATGGGTTCTTTCCAGTTCTCAACAGCCTCCCCTGCTCCCTGTTATTTGTACCTGGTCCTTGTCACCTACACCACTGTTTGGCTCTTTAAGACAGTTGAGTTTGTGACCTCTGGATTCTATGATTTACGTTTTCTTTCCTCCTCTGAGATTCCACGAGATCAGTAAATGCAGGGGACAGGAGGATCACGTTCTGTGCAACAAAGGCACTTAGAGAAGGAAAATTTCAAAACCTGTGACGTCCAAGTCTCAGGCCCAGTCTGAGAAAAACAAATAAGTAGATACTGAAACATACTTTTAGTCCCTAAAATGTGAGTAACTCCATTCTTTTGGAACTTCTGAGGTGGAAGTCTCTTTACATATGTCACCTTGAATGTTTCCAATAATCCTGGAGAGAACCATAGTCACCATCTCCATTTTTCAGAATAGTGAAGTGAGGCTCAGAGTATTTATATGACAAACCTAAGTCTCTATGGGTGCCAGAGGCAGGAGGCAAATCAACTCCATGGCCAACTTTTTTCTGACTCATCATCCCTGCTTTCTGACTTTGACACAAAGGAAAATGCTAGAATCATTATTTGTTGCTTCCCCCTCCACTGGATGGTCAGAAAAGGCAGAGGCCTTTTGTTAAGATTAAGCTTTTTCCAAACCCTAGATAACACTGTCAACCTTTACTTCAGAAATGCTGGTGATAATCAGGTGTCTGGTTGGCCCACTATTTATTTGACAGATCATTCTCTGGGAGACCTTTAGTGGCCTATGGGTCACTTCAGGAGACTTCTCCTAAGAGATGGGGGCCATTCATGTCTGATTTCTCTACAGGCTGTGCTTCTTGAACACTCCAAACGCAAGGGCTGACCAATGTCTACAGTAATACTGGAATTTGTGTGTTCTGCTGGCTAATATTGCAATGGAACCATGTGTCAGAACTTGGCTTGATCTCTCCAGCTCTGAGGTGTTTCAGAAGCCCAGGGACATTTTTATTGGCTCACCCATTTCTCATCTCCCCTTATGACTATTTCAAAAGATTTGTTAAATATCCCATATGCATCTGAGCTCAGTTTGGCAATGAAATCAGAAAACAGAGAAAAGGAAAACTTACCATGTGCAACACACAATATGAAAACATAAATAAAAATCAGATTTATTTTCTCAGCAAGAATGCAACAGCTGAAAAGTTTCCTAGAAGCTGTCTTATCAAATGCCTTTCATCTAGTAGATAAGGAAAGGGAGGCTCAGAGAATAGGTCACACAAAACCAGATAGAGGAATCTTCAAATTCAGGTTTCCTTGAATTATGTGGGCCTCCATTTATTGAGAATGTTAACTTGTGTTTGCAGAAAGAGACCTGGAAAATAGGTGTTGGGTTTTATATTTTGCAGATGGAGAAAATGAAGTGCAGGAAAGTGAAATAACTTGTCTAATGGAAGTGGTAAAAATGGGATTTGAATCCAGGTCATCCACCTCTGGGGTCTGGCCTTTAACCACCGCACACAGTACCCACACTATTCTAAACTGTTGGTTTGCATATGTTAATTTATCTAATCCTTACAACCACTTCATGATGTATGCCCTATAGAGGGACCTCAGTTTCCTCATCTCTGCAATGAGGACGACAATCACACACTCCAGGGTGTTTGAGAGCATTGTACTGGTGTATAGTATAGTCAGCCGTCAATACACATGAGCTGTTAGAATTGTTACTATTAAAATACAACAGGACTCCTGTAATATTTTAAAAAAATGTGGCAGTGACATAGTGAGTGCTATGAGTTTTCTCACGATGGAAACTTTGCTTCAGGTCAGATTCTGAAGCCTTCTACATCATGTCCTAACAGAGAGCATGTGAGACTGCCAACTCCCTTACTTTAAAACTCCAAGGGCTTAAACCCTTTACCAAGTAAAAATGGTTTCTGGTCCCTTGATTCCTGGTCTTGACGCAACCCTGGCTCCCCATCAAGTTCATTCTGTCAGGAATTAAGAGATGGGAGAATGAATCAGTGACTAAGTGATTCGATTGTGCTGGAAGGTTTCAATTTTATCTATGTAGCGTTTATATTAATAATGATAGTGCTGAGAATTTTCACTCAGGAAAGGATAAGGTTGGCCGTGTATATTCAAATATCTGGTCTCTGGCAAGTGCTGCCAAATCTACCTTAATGGTAGATACCACAAGGGCTGCCTCTGTGGGACCTGTATAAAGTGTGTGCAGTTCACTGCTGGAAATTTATTTGGAGAAAAATAACCAAGTCCAGCTTTATGCTGTTACCAAGTAAATCCTTCATGCTTTCCTTCCAAGGATCCCAGCATATTCATTAGGTCATAGAACTTCCAGGATGGGGGTGGGAATCAGAGACATTAAGAGCCAGCAGGGATTTGGAATCAAGCTGACGAGTGTTCAAATCCCAGCAGATCATGTTCCAGCTGTGTTACCCTAACTTTCTCCGTCTAGCTAGTCCACTGTTTCCTCATGATGAAGCCAAGTATTACCACACATGTATCTTGCAGGATGACTGGGAGGTTCTGCTTTATGTTGTGTATATAGCACCCAGCACAGTCTCCAGAACTGGCCATAAAGAAGTGAGTGGAAGGCCCAGCAAAGCAGAAAGGGTAGAGGGGCAGTATTGCCTAAGGAGACTTTGCAGCTGTTGCTTGGAATTACACAGATGCTGTGCCCATGGGAAGATGAAGGTATCACTGGGGCGAAGGAACTGACTCCCAGGAAGAACTTTCTTTATAGGATTTGTCTCACACAACCAAAAATAAGCCAGATAAAATGGCTACAGTGCAAAGGATGTGTAGAGTGATTCATAACAGAAGAAACTGATGCTGTAAATAAAATTCAGAGGCCAAGATCACTGGAACTTGGAAACATTCCCTTCCCTGCTATTCTGTGTTTCTTGGGGGAAATGGTTGAGAATTCCCACCTTCCAGCTCTGGGGCTTTTGGGAAGTTTCCATTGCAAAGCAGTCTCCCCCTTCCCCTGATAAAAATGACAATTCAGTTTTCCCAGGGAGGTACAGTGTGACTGGCCTCTTCAAAATGCATCTATCCTCATTAGTTCCTGAAAGCTTCTGGCTATTCTGTGCATGAGTTACCATTATTACCTCAATTTTTAAGATGAGAAAATCAAGGCACAAAGAAGTTAGGGTACCCAGAGTCATGGGGTTAATAAGAGGGTTGGGATTTGAACCTGGGTTGTTGAAGTGCAGAACTTTGAGACTCAGTACACACTGTGTCTGCTGATGCAGATGAGTTCAAAGAAGATGTAGTTTTCTAAACCCAGATACCAGATCCATATTAATGAAAGGGGAGGGGCAGAGCACAGAAGGGAACAGATGCCCAAGACAGGTATCCGCACTGACCGCGAGGGATGGCATCATGAAAAACTCAGCTCAACTCACAAAATCTCCAGGGGCCTTCATTTCCTCCAGGGTAGGATTAGGTTAATCCCTGTCCCTTCCCGCTCCCTGTAAAATCCCAGGGTTCTGTTCTCAAAGATGACCTAGGCTGGCTCTCATTCTGGAGGACAAGTGTCTACTCAGAAATTTTATAACCATAAAGAAAACAAACTCCCTTTTCTTTACAGTAATTGCAAAAATCAAGTTGGGCATCCTTCATTTTAGAAACACCCCTCCTTTAGAAATGACAGCTTTTATAAATGGCATCCATAAAAGACACTGCTCTTTGCTGGGCTTCAGAGACCCCCCTGGTGTCTAGACAGAGCACTTGAACCCTAGGTTAACCTCCCAGAGACAGACCTGGAAATGGCCTTGCTTGGAAAGAAGACAATGGGATATTTCGTAATGAAAGCTTTTCTTTATTCCATTATCGTTGCTTGGCACCTTCTTTCCGAATAATATATTTTCCAGCCCGTGGACAAGCATCCAGGCAACTGAAGCTTAATGTCATTTGAAATCTGTTGATTTCTTCCCCTGTTGTCCACTCAGTTGGGTCTGGATATTTCCTATTCTGAGTTCTCATGTTAACATTGGCAATGACCTTCTCAGACTCTTGCCACATAGTCCAAGCGACTCTGGTGCTTGTGGAGACATAAAGGCGTAAGCAGAAATGAATGCAGTTGTGTTCCCGTGGGAGGGTTAGGGTGATTTATTTTTCTTCCTTAATATTTCCTTGCCTGCTTTTAGAGCTATAGTTACCTTATTTGAGCCCTGTGATCGATTAGGCTAACTGGATACCATGATGAGAATAGGCTTTAATCCATAAACTTATAAGCTTCTATCACAGTTGAGCAGAATCCAAAAGAGACCCTAATTCCTCCTTTGGACTTCTGTGTTCCTCGGGGAGGAGAAGGGATTTTTTGGCTGGAGGAAAATTGGAATTGAAGATTTCCAGGGATGGTTTTGCCAAGACTCTTCTTCCCATGACCTGGCCTTCTCTGTTCTCACAGCCTCACGGCCACGTTGGCAAGTGTTGGTGCAGCCAGTATTCCCAGCGCCGGGCTGGTCACCATGCTCCTCATTCTGACAGCTGTGGGCCTGCCGACAGAAGACATCAGCCTGCTGGTGGCTGTGGACTGGCTGCTGTAAGTGCCTGCAGAGGGGCTTCTGCTGGGGGTTGTGAGTGCTGTCTTCCAGGGGTGGACAGGTGGCAAGGATACAATGGAGACCTTAGCTAATCCCATGGCACCCCCTCCTCCCTGGCTGCCTCCCCCCTTTCCTCTAACATTTACTGAGTGTCCACTTAGAAACCAGAGAAGAAAAAGAGGAAACTCTGAGGGCCTCACAATCTACTGGAGGAACCAGATAAACTGCAATACCAGGTTAAAAGTGAGTAGTAAGGAACAGACAAAAAAATCTCCAATCATGTATACAAAGCCAGATAGAAAGGAGCACATACCACATGATTCTATTTACATGAAGTTCTAGGAAAAGATGATATAATCTTAGCACTAAAAAGAGGTCAGGATTGTCTGAGTTTTGGGGTCGAGGTGTAGAGATGAACTGGGACAGTCCATGGTGGGGTCTGGGTGGAAGGGTTGGGATGAAGGAGACAAAGAGTGGGGTCGAATTTAGGTGGGGAGGAGGCAAAAGAGAAATGAAGACCTTTGCAGTGGTTGCGGGGTTGAGCAGGAGCTCAGTACATGTGTGCTGACCTTGACCACAGATGCTGTGTGGCCCTCAGGGTCTTTCCACACAGAAGACAGGGAAGCGCTCCAATTCCGCTCCCTTCTTCCATGACTTGCTGCTTCTTTACACCCTGGCCTCCTTGTCTGTTGAGTCCTTCTACTCATGTTGTCATCCAAGGTCCCTTGCCTGTTGTGATTACTTTGCCTGGTCTCTTCTCGATCTTGTTTCTGAGGCCTGAAGTCCACCAGGAAGAGATTGATCTTTTATAAGGCTGCACCCCATCAGAATGCAAATGCCTTTGGGTTGAAAAACATTCAGTAATATTTTCAAGAATGAGGAAAAGGAGCTGACATCCGGTGGGGACTGCAGTGCCTTTCCATCTGCTTTCATTTATTCCTTAAAGAGCTCCATGTTATATTTCACAGATGAGAAATGGGCAATCAGGAGGGTCAGTCTCTTGCAGAGGACCATGTGTGGCCAGGTCAGAGCCCTTTACCCCACCCAGGCTGTTTCGTCATTTGAATCAAGCAGTTTACTGGTGGAGAAGAGGACCACAGAGGTCCAGAGCTGGTGAGGCTAGGGAAGACATAACTACTAAGGTCCCTCGTGCTTTGGTTTGGATGTCTTCCAAAACTCATGTTGAAATTTAATTTTTATTGTATCATGCTGAAATTAAATTATATTCTCAGAATTAAGAGGTGGGAGCTTTACAAGTTGATTAGGCCACTAGAGGTGGGATTGGTGCCATTGTGAAAGGGTGACTTTAGCTCCCTTCTGTCTTTGTCCTTCCACCTGCCATCATGTGATGATGCAGCAAAGGGTCCCTGGCCAGATTCTGATGTCTTTATCTTTCCGTTCTCCAGAACTGTGAGAAAATAATTTCTGTTCTTCGTAATTACCCAGTTTCAGTAAGTGTTACAGCAGCACAAATGGACAGAGCCATCCCTGGTTCTTCATCATAACCAAAGATTTTTTGGTTTGACCTGTTTTCGCCTCCCTTCTCAGCATTAAAACAAAACAAGGAGCCTAAATGGGGACAAATGGGGCATGCTCAAGGCCTCACTTAGAACTCAAGTCCTCTGGCCCCAGTAGGTCTTACATTGTGGACCCTGTCTTGCTGGCAGGCATTTGCTCTCAGTTCTATTGGATGAGCGTGACTTCATGCAACATTCAAGACCCTGCCTACTTCTGACCTAAATGTTAGCAAATGGAACCGGAGGGCTGGGTCCTCTGGGATCACCTGATGCAGGTGATCACATGCTCACGCTTGCACAGAAAAGCAGGGCTGACACATGGGGGCAGAAGGGAGTTGGCTGAATAACAACTATAAAAAAAACTGATGATATATTTGGATTATCTATATTGAAGAAATCATAAGAGAAAACTATCCTCTTTTCAAACTAGAAAGAAAAGAGCACATGAAGAGCTCTTCTCTACTTCTGGGGTTCTGATCCCAGATGGGGGGAGAGGAAGGCATGTGGTTGAGGGAAAACAAGGCCAAGGGGCAGGAGACCTGGCTCTGAGCTCTGTACTTACCGTCTATGGGACTGGAGCAAATTTCTCACTCTCTGGGCCTCAGCTTTGCCGTGTATGCAATAAAACAATGACTTTGGCCTGAATGCAGGAATCTAAACCCAATATCTTCGGGTACCTTCTGGTTGTGAGTCCTGATATTAAGATTCTGCTGGTGAAGGATGTTTGTATACAAATAAACATGAGTATTCCATTTAAGAAGGAAAGAAAAAGGGAGGGTTGGGGGTACTGGGAAGATAGGCATCTGAGCCTGTAGCTGGGTCAGGTCTGCTTTGAATTAGTAATGGTGTCACATTCTTTCTCACCAGCTAGAGGAGTTTTGGAAACGAGCTCTTAGGGTAGGCTCCATGGTTTTTGGGTGCTGGTCAGTGTGTAGGTTGGGGTGGGTGTTGAGTTGAGGTGGGGGCAAGGGGGAGGCTGAGAGAGTTTCTCAGAAAAGTAGTTGGTAGAGGAAAAGCAAAGAAAAAGATGGGGGAATTTTTGTCCTCTTTAGGCAAAGTCTGTACGCTTTTATAACTCGAGCAATTTTTCAGTCTAAAACCAAACAAAGCTTCAGTGACATTTAATGTGTCACAGTGCTTGCCAGCCGCTGGACACCAGCCAGCCTCATTACTGCCTGCGAAGCCCTGGATACTTTTCAGTGGGCAGGCTTAGCTGATCTGTAAATGTCATGGTGAAATCCAAGATTCCAGAGCCCTGAAAAGTGCCCGCGTCATAGAACAACAGATAGGCAGGACTGGTTAAAAGCAGAACCTTCCCCTGGATCAAGGAAGCCATTTGTGTGGGGGAAACCCTTGGCAGATATTTATAAGAGAGCTCACTGACACCCCCACTACAGAGACAGGATGGAGTAAAAATTTGGAGCCCATATTAGGGAGAGGTAGTAAGTAATTCGGTCTGGCTATAGGTTGAAAAGAAATCTAAAACCAATATCTTTGGGTGCCTTCTGGTTGGGAGTCCTGATGTTAAGATTCTGCTGGTGATGGATGTTTGTATACAAATAAACATGAGCATTCCATTTAAGAAGGAAAGAAAAAGGGAGGGTAGGGGATGCTGAGCCTCTCTTCCACACTCACATTTGATAGTGTTGGGGCAGGTACAGTTGAGATGGCCCACGAAGAGCCCTCATCCTGCAGGACAGACTCTGAAGCTCCTCTGAAGCCTCTCTGGAGGGAATAGAGTTTTGGTTCTCAAACTTGAGTGTGCACCAAAATCTGTTGCAGAATCTATGTTGGGGCTCAGTAATTGTCACTTCTAACAAGTTCCCAGATGATGCCGATGATCAGTCCAAGGACCACACTTCCAGAAGCAAGGAACTAGAGATCCTGATAAGAGTTCCTAAGGGTGGGCATATAAGCTCCTCTGCTCTTTTTTTGAGAAAGTGTTCAAAGTTTCTGCTCCATTCAATAAAAATACCTCAAAAGGACACAGAATGCTAAGAGCTAATGTTTGATGAGTGTCCTTAACTGTTACACATTGCTCTAAGCACTTGACATGAATTTGTTTAAAAGTGGTAGTACACAATTAGGCAGCTGATAGTATTGACTTATCCCAGTTTAGTGGATATTAAATGTGTGAACTTGGATTCAGACCCAGATGACCTGATTGGGTCACCCCCATGGCTTGGGGGTTCCAGGTCTGCCAATGTGCATTCGTACACACACAAACACACTCTCACACAACTGACTTAAACTCCACTCCATGCCTGATTGAAAAGAATACTAATTCCCACATCTGTCTTATCTCTGAAGATTCCAGGCCCGTCTGTTGATCTTAGTCTTTGATTTCAGCACATACACTGAATTCTCCTCATTTCTACCTGCTGCCTTATCTCTACCCTCTGTCCAACCTCACTGTGAAAGGTAACCCCTATCCCACTGAGTCCTTCCCCCTCCACTAATGTGTCCCTGCCTTGGGGCAGTACAACTACAGATCAAGGAGACAGAGTAGGGGGTAGCTCTATACAGCAAAATCATTTTTAACATATTACAAAAGAAATGTGTGTTCCCAGAAAGGGGAGAGAGCAAATCTCTGGAGAGTGAGAAAATGAAAAAGTTTCCTTTACCTGCCATTGAATCTCAACTGCCCATTCTCTGAAGTACTGTAGTCACCATTAATAATGTCACGTAGCACAGGAATTAAAATTTTAATATTAGGCATCCCTTTTCTTAAAATCAACAACAACAACAAACCTTTTTATGTTCCCAGCCTCTGAGCATCTCCCTGCCCTGTTTCCACCTTTCTTGGTCTCTCACTGTCTTGCTGGATCTCCGCGATCCCCATCTGTTTGGTTCTTCCCCCAGCTCTCTGGATGCCTCTCTTATTTTCAGTTGCAAAACAGTTTGGGCTGTCTGCGTCTCCCTCCACCTCCAAGGTTATGCCCTTTTCACATCCAGAGTTTCCAGCCAGACATCTTAATAAATAAAAACCAGTTCTCTAGTCTCTAGAGTTCCCAAAGTAAAAGTCCATCCCATCCTACTTCCTTCATATACCCATCTCCCAACTTTCCCCACACCATCCCGGGCCTGAAGGAACAGTCATTGGTTTCTACATCCTCAGATTCAACCAAGAGTGGACATAAAAAAAAAGAAAAAGAAAAAAAAAACTGTGTCCGACTGAACACATACAGTTGTTTTTCTTGCCATCACCCACTAAACAGTATAGCAAAACAACAGTCATAGCATTTCTGGTGTTTTAGTTACTCTAAGCAACCTAGAGATGATTTAAAGTATACGGAAGGATCTGTGTAGGATATATGCAAACACCAAGCCATTTTGTGAAAGGAACTTTCACAAAGTTCCTCTATGAACATCTATGCATTGGAGATCCACGTGGAGTCCAAGAATCAATCTCCCACAGATCCTGAAAACTATAAAATATGGTCGCAGCTCAAAGAGTTTATAGTCTAGTACTGAAGTTAAAA